AGTGTTTGGATCACCAGTTCTGAAACAAACCCAACTATACTCTGATGATATGCAGTGGATTATGGGGTTAGAATAGCTGATTTGCTGAGAGTTGGTATCTGGCCTTTCTCCTATTAGGTAGAAAAATTCAAACCAATCTGAACATTATTTTTCTTTTCAAAATGTTGATGGTCAGCGTAGCAGATTTGACAATAACACAGTACAAGTTTTCTGAAACATAGTCACTACAATTGCACTTGTGTACAATTTATTTCTCGTTTAAGTGGTTTTCCCCATAAAAAATTAACAAAATAATGAAGTGGTGAATTTTGACACCTACACCTAAGTTATACTTATTTGACAACATAATCAGGAGAGGGAGAAAGAGTTTTACACTGACAGAGAGTAAGTTTAGATTAGATATTGGGAAGAATATCTGTGAAGGTAGTGAGGCCTTGGCAGACACAGAGAAGCTGTCGCTGCCCCTGCATCCCTGGAAGTGTCCAAGGCCAGGCTGGATGGGGCTTGGAGCAACTTGGGACAGTGGAAAGTGTCCCTGGACACGGCAGGGGGTGTAATGAGATGAGCCTTGAGGGCCATTCCAAGCCAAACCACTCTGTGCTGACGTAGCTACCTATACCCCAAGATTCATTCAGCACACTCCTTAACACAGACATTGGCAGTCTCCAAGATTTCTCCTGAGTCTCTTTCCCAAGACAGTGGGAATCAACATTTCTGAAAAATCAGGCAAGTGTTCTCTAACTTCAGAAGTTTAAGCAGGAGAACAAATGAGTTATGCTAAAGCCTAAGAGTGTGAACACCACAGATACGAGCATTTCCATATATTAATGTCAGAGATTTTAAAACATTTGAGTCCAGAACAGGACCTCACCAGCACATATTCCCACCAACACATGTGGACTCCAAGCCAGTCAATCATTAATTATAGTGCAATAAGATCTAATTTTGTATCAGGTGATTGGTCAAGTACCAAAGCAGGAAATAGCTCATGAACACTATAGCTCATGAACACTATTTCTGCAACAAAACCTACTGCACCCACCAACACACTCTGTTCAATTGTGTCAGACTATTGCAAATAAACCTGAAAATAAAGGCATCCTCAAATGAATTTGAGATAAATTGTAGTTCTTTAGTCCTGATTCAAGGCTGTACAGACAGAATAAAAGGAGCTACTTTTCTTCCAGACCATTAACACAGTTTATCAATTTTAAGTGGTAACACACTGTGCCTGAGCATGAAGCCACACAGCCCAACAGCAGCTGTTCCAGTTGCCTCTCCAACCTAACAAGGAGGGCAGGGGGAATTCTACAGAGCCAGAAGAACAGCAAGGACCTAAGTTATGGTATGTTATCAATAATGTGCTTGTCACTGGCTGTATGCGGCTTCAGCACTAAAGCAAAGGCACTTACGACCTAAACAAATGCATACAATACAAGGCAACAATAATGCCTAAACAATGCATTATCAGATCGCAATAACCCTGGTACTGGAGATGGTGAGACACCCCTGCAGTGTGGACTGGTTTGCTTTGCTTGCCTTAAATATACAGACAGTTATTTTAGTACAGGGATAGCTTCTTTTCCCATTTTTCTTTACAGTCCAAATAACAGAGGGATCAGAAGATGGAGGCCCTTCAAGATTTCAGATTAACAGAACAAATAAGCAAATACAACCAAGGGGAGAAAACAAAGATCACAACAAAAGGAGTGAGCTGGGAAGAGCAGAGGTACTTAAATATGTGATGGATCCACAAACAGCCTGCTAGAAACATTTACTTGGCAGCACTTAATAATTAACAGCAAAACAAAAACCCCAAAAACCCCAAACAAACAAACCACCCCCCCCTCACCAGAAACAAAGAAGAAAACAAAACCCACAAAATCCCCACCACCACCAAAAAAAACCCCAAAAAAACCAAAACAAACAAACCAACCCAAAAAAACAGTGAGAAAGCTGTTTTTCTTTGAGTTAAAATTTCTGGCCGTGGGAACACGCCTGCAAACTTTCTTTCAAATATTAATGACAGAAAAGACTTTCAGTACAAGGATTTCCAACAGCTAATTATTGTGCAATACTATCCACAGCTGTTTTGAAAATTACAAAGGATATAAGTAGCATGTATTGCTTGGAAGGAAGAAAAAGCTACCATAAAATATTGCTGGAATCCTTGAACTTGAGTTATCATTGCTGTTCCTGAGTAACTATCTTGGAGAAGTCTTTTGCAACAGTCTAACAGCTAGTGATTACCGAAGGAAGGAAATTCTAACAAGACGGAATTCCCTGTTCTGGTAATACAGCGCCCTAAATATGATCCATGTTATTTCTGTGCTCTGGGTACACCTGGATGCTCTGAAAATCCTACTTGGATTTCCTCTAAGTCAGAAAAGCTTTCAGATGGTCCAGTTTCTTGTAGGAAATGGACATAAAAACATAAGGATTGAGATAATATAGTTCAAAGGAGAAGGTCCGACTTTCTTCTCATCACAAGTACACAGCACCTGAAAGGTGTCATCCCTCCTGCTGCCCTGGGACCGGAATCAGCTGAGATACTACATCCACCCGGAGATTGCTCGCTTGTTCACAGGCCCAGAGAGGCCGGGGAGCATTTTGGCAGGTTCCAGCCAGCACTCTAAATTTAGAGTGGCTAACAGTGTGCCAGCCCCAATATTCCAGCAGCAACTTTCACTGAAGCATGGGCCGGAAAGACTAATGTGAAAACAAACTCACAACAAAATTCTACTTTCATTATAGAAAAACCATTGAAGTCAGAGGCTGCAGAACACAAGTGCTGGGCTTAGAGAGCTCTCCCCGCGAAGATCCCCTGCCCCGCTGCCGGGGTGGGCTGGCAGAAGAGGTGAAACTGCGCGTGCTAGGGCGAGCGTCAGCAGCGGTCAGAAGATCCTCTGAGGCACTGACCGGCACCTGAGGCTCGCACAAGCCATTTAAACACCTTCAGCCTCTCCACACACCACGCAAGCCCCCAGGCGCGCAACCCAGAGACCCCACGGCCGGCTCGCCGTATGGACCGGCGCCCGCTCTCCGGTCACCGACAGCCCCGGAGGTTCCGCCCTGGGTTCTGGAGCCCACGGACAGACACGGCGGCTGGGGCCGCACCCGAGCCTCCCCGGCAGCTGCTGCCTGGTCTCGCAAGAGCACAGCCAGCGGCCCGGACATGGGGGCCCGACGAAGGCCGGTCTCGGAGCCAGCCCCCTCCGGGTCCCTCCCGGTCCCTCGCCGGAGGATGCTGCCGTTATACTGCTGCGATGCCACCGCCCGACACTGAATTCCATCCCCCCTCGGTCGGCTCCCGGAGCCGCGCTCGCCCTCACCGCTCTCCGCCGCTCCGGGCCGCGTCCGGCGGGACCGGGGGCGCGAGCGGCCCCGCGCTTGCGCAGAGGGCGCGGCTGCTGTGGGACGGGCGCGCGCACACGGTCCTGCTGGGCCGGGCGGGCGCGCGCGGAGCGTCCCCGGCCCTGGGGCTGTGGGGAGGGCTGTGAGGGCTGATGGGGGGCTGTGAGAGCTGATGGGGGGCTGTGAGAGCTGATGGGGGGCTGTGAGAGCTGATGGGGGGCTGTGAGGGCTGATGGGGGGCTGTGAGAGCTGATGGGGGGCTGTGAGAGCTGATGGGGGGCTGTGAGGGGCTGTGAGGGCTGTGGGGAGGGCTGTGAGAGCTGATGGGGGGCTGTGAGAGCTGATGGGGGGCTGTGAGAGCTGATGGGGGGCTGTGAGGGCTGATGGGGGGCTGTGAGGGCTGATGGGGGGCTGTGAGGGCTGATGGGGGGCTGTGAGGGGCTATGAGAGCCTGTGAGAGCTGATGGGGGGCTGTGAGGGCTGATGGGGGCTGTGAGGGGCTGTGAGAGCTGATGGAGGGCTGTGAGGGCTGTGAGGGGCTGTGAGGGCTGATGGGGCCTGTGAGGGGCTGTGAGAGCTGATGGGGGGCTGTGAGAGCTGATGGGGGGCTGTGAGGGCTGATGGGGGGCTGTGAGAGCTGATGGGGGGCTGTGAGAGCTGATGGGGGGCTGTGAGGGCTGTGGGGAGGGCTGTGAGGGCTGATGGGGGGCTGTGAGAGCTGATGGGGGGCTGTGAGAGCTGATGGGGGGCTGTGAGGGCTGATGGGGGGCTGTGAGGGCTGATGGGGGGCTGTGAGGGCTGATGGGGGGCTGTGAGGGCTGATGAGGGCTGTGAGGGGCTGTGAGAGCTGATGGAGGGCTGTGAGGGCTTTGAGGGGCTGTGAGGGCTGATGGGGCCTGTGAGGGGCTGTGAGAGCTGATGGGGGGCTGTGAGGGGCTGTGAGAGCTGATGGGGGGCTGTGAGGGGCTGTGAGAGCTGATGGGGGGCTGTGAGGGCTGATGGGGGCTGTGAGGGGCTGTGAGAGCTGATGGAGGGCTGTGAGGGCTGTGAGGGGCTGTGAGGGCTGATGGGGCCTGTGAGGGGCTGTGAGAGCTGATGGAGGGCTGTGAGGGGCTGTGAGGGCTGATGGGGGGCTGTGAGGGGCTGTGAGAGCTGATGGGGGGCTGTGAGGGGCTGTGAGAGCTGATGGGGGGCTGTGAGGGCTGATGGGGGGCTGTGAGGGCTGGTGGGGGGCTGTGAGGGGCTGTGAGAGCTGGTGGGGGGCTGTGAGGGCTGGTGGGGGGCTGTGAGGGCTGATGGGGGGCTGTGAGGGGCTGTGAGGGCTGATGGAGGGCTGTGAGAGCTGATGGGGGGCTGTGAGGGGCTGTGAGAGCTGATGGAGGGCTGTGAGGGGCTGTGAGAGCTGATGGGGGGCTGTGAGAGCTGATGGGGGGGCTGTGAGGGCTGATGGAGGGCTGTGAGGGGCTGTGAGAGCTGATGGGGGGCTGTGAGAGCTGATGGGGGGCTGTGAGGGGCTGTGAGAGCTGATGGGGGGCTGTGAGGGCTGTGAGAGCTGATGGGGGGCTGTGAGGGGCTGTGAGAGCTGATGGGGGGCTGTGAGGGCTGTGAGGGGCCATGGAGGGGTTGTGAGGGGCTGTGAGAGCTGATGGGGGGCTGTGAGGGTGGTTCTGAGGGCTGATGGGAGCTTTGGAGGAACAGGAGGCTGTGAGGGGTCACAGTGAAGGGCTGTGAGGGATGTGCAGCCTAAAATATAGGGAGTGTGAGGTGTGATAGGAGCTATGAGTAGTGTGGGGCAGACAGGGTGGTTGGGGCAGTGTTGTGATAAGAGTATAGAAACTTGGTGGAGAAGAAACCCCTTGTGAGCCAGCTGGTTGTTAGAGATCAGAGAGGGTGAGGGTAGCTGGGCTTAATCTCTTATTATAAGCAGCCTGGCGCAATAAGTGGTTGTGTTCAGTAGGAACTTCCACAAGCACAGGTTCTCAAACAGGGTATGTTCAACACTGTGTCTGGTAATGTTCAATAAGAACTTTCACTGTCACAGATTCATGAATAGTGTGGTTTATTGAAGTGGAAGAAATGCGAGGGGGAATGGAAAGGGGGAATAACTGTAAGGTAGTATGTTTTAATTAGGTTTTCAGAAGAAATTCTTTACTCAGAGGATGTTGAAGTCCTGGCGCAGATTTCCCAGAGAAGCGCTGGCTGTCCTGGATCCCTGGAAGTATCCAAGGCCAGGCTGGACAGGGCTTGGAGCACTGGGACAGTGGAAGGTGTCCCTGCCCATGGCAGAGGTGGAACTGGATGGGCTCTAAAATCCCTTCCAACCCAAGCCATTTAAGAGTCTATGAAATATAGATTTGGAATTGCCCTAGATGGATGCAGTAGCTGTGATAGAGTTCTAACAGTAGCAATACTATTGTGTTAGCCCGGGTAATAATAATCATAATAATTTTATGTAGAAGCTTACAATGAATGCTTGGGAGGAGGGAGAGGAGACTAGTAGCCCATCAATTGTTTCTGATGTCCTTTTGGATCTTTCTCCTAACTAGGTAAAATTTTTACCCTCCTTATATATAGCCAATCTTATCCCCCTGCTCCTTTTTCACCTATAGCATGATCTAAGCAGAGAGCAACATAATACAATAATATATGTGGGACTAAGGTGCTTAATGCAGGTGATTAGCATATGTAGTGTTTGTTGAGGGTTTTTTTTTGTTTGGCTGGTTTTTTGTTACCGTCCTTCAAAGTTCTGGTCATACAGCTTTGTTCTCATTTGCTTCATTCTTCAGAGTAAGAGCATGATCATTGCATCTTCACAGAACTTGCTCCTTCAGGGCCTTTCCTGACATCAGCTATGCAGCTCTCCATCCACAGAGATAGCACAGGGGGTACACAGCATACACTGTAGATATTAAGCCTCAGCCCTTGCTTGGCTCCTTAGTCATTATCCCACAGACAGCAGTGTTGTGTGAGGAGAACTTGGGCTGTGCTTCTGCCCTGGAGTCTGGGAAAAGCTCAGTGCAGATGTTAGAAACAATTGTTTAGGAAAGCTTTAAAAATCTGGCTACTTTTATGCTCAGTAACAATATGTTTGTTTTTTTCTTTTTGCAAAGCCTGGAATGGCCAGGACAGAAATTGGTTTCTTTTTAAGATGAAGGATTTCCATAGTGTTTATTTGACTTGGCTTGGCAGCAGTGCCCTGTTTATGACTGGATAAATAACTGCCACATTAAAGATTATTAACTAGCAATGCTTCAGTGGCCAATAAAGCACTAATCTTTTATATGGTGTTGTATATGTACACAGCTTGGTACGGCTGGATCTTGCCAAAGAGATAACAAATCCCTTACCTGGAAGGTTTACAATCTAAAGGAAACCACAAAGGACCACAAGGAAAGTACTAAATATGATAATGAAACACAAAATACACAGAGGACTTGAAGCCATTTGCAGCTGCATTTTAAACAAGATCTTAAGAGGGTGTTTTGTATTTACCTTAAAGCTCCTGGGCAGAGAGGCAAGATAAAATCCTAGGTTTGGGTTGGAAGGGACCTCAAAGCCCATCCAGTCCCACCCCCCATCTTCCATTAGACCAGATTGCTCCAAGCCCTGTTCAACCTGGTCTTGAACACTTCTAGGGATAGAGCAGCCACAGCTTCTCTGGGCAACCTGTGCCAGGGCCTCATCACCCTCACTGTATAAACCTTTTCCTAATACCTGCTCTAAATCTTCCCTCTTTCAGTTTAAAACCATCCCCCCTTTTCCTGTCACTACAGGCCCTGCTGAAAAGCCTGTCCTCACCTTTCTTAGAGACCCCTGTTAAGTCCTGCAGACAGACACAGTGGCCGCTGTGCTGTGATAAATGGTCAGTGGGGTCTTGGGCAGTGCTGTGCCTCTACCTCTGCCGGTGGCCAGGCACTGCTCCAAAACAGACCTAAGCTCCAAACTGGGGGAAGCAGTAAGCAGTCCTTGTAATGTGCTTCCTTTAAGGCTTCCTTGTGACTGGATAATGCTACTGTGGACAGCAGTGGACTTGTCGTGGAGCATGAGAGCCATTTCCAGAAGCTGTGACAAGAAATTATTTGTTTATCCAAATATAAATTGGAAATATAATACATTATTTTATATTCATTTGTGTTTGATTCTGCAGGGTCCTAGAGGACACTTCCACATGTGTAAAGCATTATGTTCCTTGTGCTAAATGAAGCTGAGCTAGCAAGGAAAGCAGGTTTAAAAGAGGATGAAAGTAAATGGAGAGGTGTGAGGACAGAGATAAGTGTGGGCAGCATTTGCTAAGATTTTGTAGGAGGATGGAAAGCTTTCGTCTTCAGCATGAAAATGAAAATGTCTTCAGCATTTATAGATCCTTTCACTATAATATGTGAGACATGTATTTTGCATACTTGGGCTCATGGTGCCCCTCTGAGGTAAAGCAGTACTGTTATTCTCGTGTCCATCCCAGGAAACTGCAGCAGAGACAATGTGTTCACATGGGGGAAAACAAGCTGGGGATTGACAGGCTTTGGAAAAGCAAGAGCGGGCGCAGGGAGAGGGACCAGACTCACTGTGTTTCTGTCATGAAATGTGAACTATTATTGGAGCTGAACATACTGTTTAGACAGACGGTTGTTCTCAGTGTTCTGAAAGTAGGAATAATTGAAGGATCTCTTCAAACTTCTGTCCTGATGCTCAGTGGTGCATTGTTGAGTCTCCCCTCCTCCCGCCGTGCCCGCAGGCACCCGCCCAGAGCTGGTCTCGACGGCAACAAATGGTAGCAGAAGATGGCTATTTCCATCATTTGTGAAAGGGGGGAGAGAGAAAGGAACTCTGCCACTGCAAGAGCTCTGCAGATGCTAAGAGGAGTTGACGCGCCGGGCGGAAAACAAACCCGAAGCTCCAGGACCCTCTTCGGTCCTTGCCGGCGTGCTCTCTTACCGCCCGGGAGCAGCTGTGCTGCAGGGGCAGCCGGACTGCAGGGGCCGGGAGCCAGGTAGACTTACCCGAGGACAAAGAGGACAGTTTGGCAGTGGCTCAATGGACTGAGCTCGAAGAGTGGCCCGTCAGGGGACAGCATTTGAATGGAGACCAGAGGTTGACAGTGGCCGAACCCAGGGTTTCAAGGGCGAGCTCTGGTTAACGGGAACACCCAGGCTTCTGGGAGAGCCAAACTGCGAAAGAACATGTTCTCAGTTCAGCGCGATGTTCCACCACTGAGGAGAGAGATAGAGATTTCACCGCCCGAGCCCAGAGGGTAAGTTGGGTCAGAGCAGGGTGGGACCCTGGCGGGCGGCTGGGCTACCGTTTTTTCTTTTGAGTTTTAACCACCGTCCGCATCCATCCATGTCCCTGGCGGCCGGGAGGCTTTTTCTTTTCCGAGGAGGACACAAACTCGCTCGGTCTTTTTGGGGTAACTCATACTGGAAAGCTCCTTCTCTTTCTCGGAAAGCTGTCTTTTCTACCCTCTCCTCCCTATTCTGGGCTATGGGGGCAGGGGGGGTCGAAAGGACACCAGTGGGACAGAATTGTAAACGGCGACACATCAGCTATGGGAGAATTGTTAACATCCTAAGAGAGGCCCTTCACATCCATGCATTTCATCGGCTTCCAGCCACGTCAGGCCCCTCTCCTGTAGATTTTCCCCTCCGCTTCTGTGAAGCTTCCCCTTCCCTTTTCCCCACAGACTTCCCCAAACCTTCTCCCGTGGGGGTGGCCGCGGCCGAGCCGCCCCAAGTGCTCTGCCGGGCACTGTTATCCTCCCTTAGGGGTGGCATTGGCCGTGCCTCCCCGGGCGAGATGCAGTGCACCCAGCACCCCCTCCCAAGATGGCGCTGGCCACGCTACAGGGATCCCATTTACTCGCCTTGATCCTTCTCTTCCGCCCACGTTTTCCCGCCAGCCCCACCCCTCCCCCAATGGCCCTGCACCATCCTGCAGCGGGCCAGCCCCTACTGGGGGGAGGTGAGGTTGAATTAATCCCTCAGTCCTTCTTCTGGCTCCCCCTCTGATGGGAAGGATTGCCGGAGGGGTCCCTCCGTTAGAGGACCTCCCTTTGTAAGAGAGCTTTCCCCTTTGCTGTGGGGGGGTGGGGGTGGGGCCTTCGAAGGGAGTGGAGCTGGAAACCTGGACCAGAGCTCCACTGTTTTCTTCCCCTGAAACAGTGGCACCCAGGTTCACCCTTTATCCCATCTCCTGAATGTACCTTGCCCAAAGTTCCCTTATTATTTTAATACAAGTTTTCCCCATTGCTTGTGATAACTTGGAAATAACTTCTTGGATTGAGTTATATCTTATAGAAGGAAAGATGATCCTCTCTAATTACTGCCCACAATGCTATGCCAACTTCGCAATCAAATTGGAGAAACCACATCGCTGTTCGCTGCCTGCTTCTGCTCTGCTAGAATTTGGAAACCACAAGAATCGCATCATGAATCCTGCTTTCTTCCTCGATACAGAATGTGTTTATGATAATTTTGTACCCTTTATCTTAAATTGTAATGTGGAAAAGATTTTTGCCCTATTAATTGTAAGTATGATTGGTGTATCACTTTCTGATGTCTCTCGAATTTGTAACGTTATTAATTTGTTTTTACCTCAGAACTCCCTTTCCTTTATGTAAATTCAAAAGAGTAAGCTGTAGGATTTGTAATTTTCTCTTCTTCCCCCCCCCCCCCCATTCCCCCTCCCCCCGTGGTCCCTTGTCCCGACCCTTTGTTCCCTTCTCAGTTCCCCTCACCATGCTGTCCAGTCCCTGCCCGCCCCTACCCCCCCCCCCGCCTTTCCCATCGCTGTCCCCGGGGTTTCCCTGCCCCTGTCCCCTGCCCCTGTCCCCTGCCTCCCGTCCCATTTGCCGCGGCTCAGGTTCCCCCCCGCCCCCGGCACAGGGTATAACCGAGCCCTGCTTGGTGCCCCGGCGTCTCGGGAACACGGTTCTACAATAAACACGTGTTTGCACCTGAGCCCCGTGTTGCCATTTTTTCTGTCCCTGCGCTAGAACTGAGCCTCGCAGAGCCGAAGGGGAAAAGTGGCCGCCGCCTCTCCCCTCCTCCCGCCGTGCCCGCAGGCACCCGCCCGGAGCTGGTCTCGCACGGCAACAGTTGAGAGATAATTTAGGAGTATAATGGTGACTAAAGCATCTGCATTGCCTGGTGGTTTTACCTAATTCTTGTACTCAGGGTGCAGTAGGGGGATAAAGTTCAAGGAGACAGAGATAAGATCCATGTGGGGAAATCTTTCAAGAGAGAGGCCTGTGTGAATGCACGATAAAAGGAGACAGCAGTCTGTGGATTTATGGTGAAAATGGCAGATGATACAGGTAGAGTGGATGCTCTGTGCTGTAAGACTTTGGAGCCTGCATGGCTATATGAGTAATCTCCACCAAGCTGTGTTCAGGCTTTTGGACTGTATGTGACTGTGAGAGAGAGGGTGAAGACCTTACTTGAGTAGCTGGCTGATGGCTGGTGGAAAACATGTTTGAATGCATCTACTCCTCTTCCTGGACGGAGATGTTAATTGCTGGCAGCTTTACAGAAGCCAAGGAATGCCAAGGCTGAGTCCTAAACCCTGCAGAGGTTCAAATAAAGAGAAAGACCCAGTGAGCCCCTGGGCATGGAGGGCAGTGAGTCTATGGAGGCTTTTGAGGGATGAAAGAAAGATCTTTGTTTATCTATAACTAGTTCCCAGAGTTTTGAAGCACTTTCATGAAGCATGAAATAAAGTAGTTCCGCAAGTGCAGTGTTGGGTGAAGCCTGTGACCTTTGGGGTTGTGCCTTGATGGTGGCTTCTCTCTCTATTCTCTGAAGAACAAGAACAAGTGAGCTCATATTGAACCATTCCTTTATGTGGGAATGCTCTTCCCCCTGAACATACATTTTCTAGAACCTACAGGAACAGAAATTTCTCTGGTATGTACGGTTGTATATCTCACATTTTCTTATGAAACCAGGCTGGAGTTATGGACTAGACATTACTGGATGTAATGGAGGTTTTTTGATAGGGGCAGTGGAGGGACTGGAAAGATGGATGGGGAAACGTGAAAGCAAGAAAAGAAAAGGAAGTGAAGAATGGCTAAGTGGACGGAATGATCCATCATCACATGAGATCTATCCTCATGTGTGTCCCACAGCCTTGAAGAGGAGATTTGCACTGGTAAGGTGGGCAGAGGAGCAGCTGAAGGATCATCAGAGAATGCCAGGAAGCACAGAAGGGTCTTTGGCCAAAACCTAAGCTGAACTAGTAAAACAGTGGCTTTGCTGGTCCCACAGCAATGGGATTTGTCCTGGGCTGCTTGCATAGGAAGCTGATAAGCCTCGGCAAAGTCTGACCTCCTGTGGGTAAAACTGGGAATTACTAGGGGATAATTAAGCATATCTTTTTCCTATTACGTGTCAGCATCTTAATGAGTGGTTTGCTCGGTGGTGTGAACCACTTCTCTTCCACTTCCAGCAGCCAGATGTGGTTCTGCCCCTTTAGATGAGCTGCTGATGTTACTCCTGGCAATGAAGGTGATGCCGATGGTCCCAAAACTGGGAGAGTGCTGGTGGATTTTTTTGTGACACAAAAGGAATGTGGTCATGAAGGCGGCCAAGTATTTCTCTGTGACTGCAAGAAGTACTTAGTGGACGTGTTTTGACTGGATGGGTTGCAGCCAGATTTTCCTGTTTCTTTGTCCTTTCCCCAGCTATGGCACCTCCTGCCTTTTAAGGGTGAGCAGTCACATTGTACCATGAATGTGAAAGGTTGTCTTCTGGTACTGGGTGATCCTCTTGGTCTGGAGAGGGGGTTTGTGGGAAAGGAATTAGCAGTTTCCCTTTAGGATGACTTTAATCCCCCTCCTCCGTGAGGAAACTGCAGTGATGGTGTAGTACATTCCCAGCATATTGCACCAGGTATTCCAGAGTGGGATGTTGCTTGTTAGAATCCAGCTTTGGCTGCAGGTGCTGCTGTGGTGTTCCATACCTGGTAGGGCCCAGTCCACAGTCCCAATAGCCTCTGGCTATTGGGCATCTTTGGAGCATTCTCACCAGCTCTTGACTTTGGAGGAGGAGAGTTCATAGCAGAAGGATCTTGCACATGACAGATTGCCTCCCCCTATATGGTGCCTGCCTGATGACCTGCAGAATCTTAGCGAATGATTCATAATCCAAGGGTTTTTCCTGGGAAGGTGATTCTGAAGGAGTTTGGTTTATTCCAAGTGCATGTGTATCTTATAAGCTCCAGGGACTGTTAGTCAGTCACGTGCTACAGACATGGACAGATAACTAAATGTTGCTTAATTTATGCCCTGCGCGGTCTTTGATGTTGGCTTGATCTCTTTCTTTCTCCTGCACTCTGCTGCAGCAGCTCAAACACAGCATTGCCTTTTCGCAGGAGGCTCATTGGCTTTCATCAGGCAAAGCAGGAACTTTTTTTTGAATTGGCATCCCTCATGGTATTATGTCTCTGTCTAGGCTGCTGGCTCTGGGTCTTCAGGGTCTCTGGTGTATTTACCTCATGGTGTGATCGAGCGGCAGCAGTGAGAGACCTGCAGAGTTCACAGCAAAGTGGCTGGACAAGTAAGTTCAAAACCCGGCTGTGATCCCATGGATCTATTTTTTAGAGACCTGAGAACAGGCTGAACCTCCCTGGGTGAAGGATAAGAGAATATGGTGCCCAAACAGCCTCTGCCTGGAGAGGAATCCTGTCTGTCCCAGCCAAACAACCAGGTCAAGCTTAGCTCTCAAGAGGGCTTTACACCAAAATCCACGGCACTGGGTGCTCTCAGGCCTGCCTGTGTTCTCCTCTAAGGTAAAGCAGAACCTGCAATTAGTGTTTCCAGAAGGTGTGAAATACAGCTGGAGGAAAAGCAGGCTTGGTGGTGCTCTGGTCCAGGCCTGGTCCTTGCAGCCTTCATACCTGTGCTGGAGCATGAATTGCTACTCTGTGCTGGTGCCCCTCACCCCTCTGCAAACTCTGTTTTCATTAATGTGTGCTCTTTGGTTAAGGACCCTTCTCACTTCCAGCTGAACAAACACTTTCTATCGCATGTAAAATACAGCTTGGTGCTAATAGACGTCTCCCCCCACCTTCCTCCCTCCCCTTTACCACCTTTTCTGCAGTTGGCAGGACAAAAAAGTGTCGCTATTACCTGACTTATTATCAGCATGGGACTGTAATTTATGACATATGCTTGGTAAAGTGCCATGCTGAAAACATTTACGGTCCTCTTTGAGTTCTGTGGGGTGGTGGGGAGAGCAATGGCTGCGGAGGAGAAGCCAGTTGTTCCACCCTTGCAAAATACAGCACAGTCTAAAGGCTTCCTCTGACTTCTGACAGGAGCACTGTGGGCAGTAGGCTCAGCACCCTGGTCTGCTGATGTCAGTGGGTTGAGACACCAGTGCCCAGAACAGATGCAAGGTTTTTCTGTCCTTAGGAAGCACACAGTTTCTCCCTTGGGAAATGTATTGAATTCCCTATCTTTATTGCTTTTAGTCCTGTACAATCTTATCCCTTAGGCAGGATCTCAGAACCTGCCTTCCTCGTGTTCCTCATACAAGCATCACCTCCTCTTTCCTCCCCTGGCTTGAAGTCCCTGTTCTCTCATGGGAGGGTCTGCAGCAGCTGCCCCATGTGCAGCAGGTCAAGCACAGGAGCTGTGGAAGGCAGACATTACAGCAGGACAGCTGTCCTCTAGCAACCAGGTTCATCCCCTGTCTGAAGGAAACAACCTGATAATTTAGTTCTCCATGTCTGGATTTGAGCTGAAATTGTGCTGTGGAGAGAAGGGGACAAATAAATTGTCATTGCTGTTGGTGGGCTAGATTTGAATAGCAATACAAGGGGAAAGGGAAAGTCCTGGCAGCAGTGACTTTTTCAGTGACTGAAGAGAGATTTATGAGAAATGAGACTTTATATCCCAGTCTTGAGATAAGTGGTATGGAAATTTGGCATGGGAAAGAGTTTTTTACGCTGGGCTATTTGCTGATAACTGAAAAGTTAATTTTGACTGTTGAGCTCCCCTCAGGAAAACACCATCGTTCATCTTTCAGAGGTATTTGGAGCTTGGCTGTCCGCCCTGTCCACTTGCTGTGTTTCAAAGGATGGGAGCAGAGATCATCCAAACCATTTCCCAGTTTCAGGAGCACACTTTCCCTGAAGCTGCTCAGCTAGAAGGAGCATTTTCTTGGCCTGAAGTGAGACAGGCGCTCTGTAAACTGTGGGGAAGGACCACATGGCAGTTTGTCCTCCTTCTTTGATTCAGGCTTTGCCAGCTGCTGGGTGAGAAGCAGGTCTCTGTAGCCCTATGCTTCAATAGTGCCATGTGTGCATCCATGTGCTGGAGCTAAAGGAGATGTTCTGGCCGGGCTTGTGTCCTGGATGCTCTCTTTGCTACTTGTTGTCTGAAGGTTTGCAAGATAAAGCCTTGGGAGCTGGGTGACATGAGGAGATGTGTGAAGCCCACAATACCAACCTAATGCTGCTTCCAGAGTCATCATCTGTAGCTGCTGTTATTTCTGGATATCTTGTCCAAAGGGTCTTAAGGCTGAGGGTTTGGTCTGGGAGAATGCCTTGAGCTGGAGTGGCTTTATTCCTGTTGTGGTTGGACAGAATATGTGTTTTGGATGGCATTTATTTCCCCAAACAGCAGCTATGTAGAAGTTTGCCATCTGGTGTAATTTTGTCCTCTGAGCTCCATCTGTCCTGTGCAGTGGGGAGAGACTGAAACCTCCCGTGAGTGAATCAGCTTATTTTGTCTTAAGCAGTATTGGGTGGAGCAGGTTGCGCTGGAGCTGATTCTGCATTTTCTCACTGGAGCTTAGATATTTAGGTGCCAAACTGGGTGCTAAAATCAGAGATGAAATCCCCCCTTTCACTTTTTGTGCGAGGGAGGGCTGGTGGGAAGCTCACGTCGTCCTTGGGGTCTGAGTCAACTTTAAGCCTTGTTCTGTTGACTGAGTTCCAGACACCCCATACCCAGGTC